CTCCACAAAACACAATGAAAATCTTTCTCTAAAAAAAAAAAAATATATATATATATATATATATATATATATTTCTACCTGCCCCTCATGGTGCCCCTGCATCACTCTTCTCATTACCTTATGTAACAAGAAGCCATTTAAGGGAGGATGGGCTTACTTGGCTCTCAGTTCAAGGAGTCACAGCCCAGCATAGTGGAGAAACTATGGCAGCAGGAATGTGTGGCATCTGGCCATAGAGTCTACAGTCAAGAATCAGAGAACGGGCAGAAATGGGGTCAAGCTAGCGAACTTCAGGTTCCAATCACAGTGACTCAAGCTGTCGAGGAAATTCCTTGTCCTAGTTTCTCCAGCTTTCCCGAACAGCTCCACCAGCTGGGGACCAAGTAGCCAACACCTGCACCTGTGGAGAAACACAATAGTGTGCACACATTGACCTGCAGGGCGGCCCTCAAGTGTTTTCTAGGAATCCCTTCAAGTGCAGAGTCCAGATTCTCTACATCATACACAGTCTGTTTCACAATGGTGGACGTGGCCTTGCACACTGTGTAAATAGGACGGTGATGACAGGGACAGGGACAGGAAAGAGATATTGATTTCATGGCCCACTGCTGGATGCTGAGATAGGTAGGGTACATTCATGGATTTGTAGTGTTTTCATGAGTCGGGCAGTGATCCTGCCCTCACCATGTTTGCTTCTCTTTCATTTTTGATGCTGCTGTCTGGGACACTCCTTTTCATCTGTGACAATCTTTCTGTGAGTTTTCAGTGCTATCTATGGTTGAACCTAGATGCTCACTCAAGAACACTGTGTGCCTCACCCTTTTTCCTTTCCTTTTTGGGGACATAGTTTGAGATAACATCCCCCTATACTTAACTCACTCTGCAATCCAGATAAGGCTTTGAACTTGAGTTTCAGAACTGTTGAATTGTAGCTTGTGGCACCAAACCATTTAACTAATACACCCATCTGAATAAGGAATGGCTACAATATGCCTTTTATGTATTTTTATTAGTTCATGTACCCTTTGTTCCTTTCATTAAATACTTTGTTATTTTAAAACAACTGTATTAGCATATGATCATTGTAAAGACAAAATGGAAAACACTTATTAATGAGCATCAAGGACAGAAATTCTTTTTTAAACTTAATTAAAATATAATTATATCATTTACCCCTTCTCCTTGCTCCTACCCTTCTCATGCTTGGCACCTTTTCCATTCATAGCCTCCTCTTCTCCAGCCATTGTTGTTAGACACACACACACACACACACACACACACACGTATGTGATTACATATATGTATGTAATAAACCACTTAATATTGAGGAGCCAGTTAAGGGGCTCATTCCCAGGGAAGACTAATTCTCCCTAGCAGTTGTTAATTGCTTTATAAGGCTTCTTCTAAAGGTAAGACCCCATGAGATTGCCCCCATCTAGGTTGCCATGGCAACTAGTATTGTCATTGTTCAGGTCTGGTTTAGGCATCCATGTTGTTGAGATTTCCTGGTGTAGCCTCACTGTTGTATGTGGAAGGCAAAATCTCACAGCAGACTTATTGGTCCTCTGACTCTTAGACTCTTTCTGCCCGATCTTCTGCAATGTTCCCTGAGGCTTTGGTGGGGAGTTTGTGTGATAGCTTTATCAACTTATTTTTTATTTTTTATTTTTTATTTTTTTGCATTTTGACTAATTGTGGCTTTCTGTGATGGTCTCCTCCTGCTGTAAAAATGCAACTTCTTTGATAGTGTTGGTGTGTGTGTGAGAGAACTTCTTTGATGGGGGAATCTACCTTTGCCTGTCATTAAGTATTAGAATGTAGTAAGGAATATACTAGTTTAAGGAAGGTGGTAGTTTCTCCTCGGCTGGACAGTTGGCTCAGCTCTAAAAGACTCACAACCAAAGAGACAAGGACAGAAATTCTTAATGCTTAGCACAAAGGTATCCATGAACTTTTTTGTCACAGGAGTTTAAGGAACAGTTCAACTTTGCCAGTTGGTGCTTAGCATTTCCTGCCTAGCTCGGATGAGCTCTTATGTCAGGGCCCATATATTGGAACTCTATTCTATCCTGCCAGTAGTTCAGAGAGTTCAAGTCACTCCTATTGTCTTTAAGATATTAGCTTAACTGCTGCAGGATGTCCTGGCTCCTATCTAAATAACAATAGACTTGGACCCAGGTGAGTTTACACTCATCCTAAAGGCTAGGTGAAACGTGCTGCTATGGAGTGCCTGATGGCCAAGTAGTATGAGCAACTGTAGAGTGTCTTTAGGATTAAGGAAAGTAATTGCTATCTGCCCTTTATAC